GGAGGAAAAAGAAGGATGAGTTGCATCCCAAGAACACCATCCCTACTGTGAAGCATGGGGGTGGTAATATCATGCTTTGGGGGTGCGTTTCTGCGAAAGGGACAGGAGGTCTGCACTGTATTAAGGAGAGGATGAATGGGGCCATTTATTGTGAGATTTTGAGCAACAACCTCCTTCCCTCAGTCAGAGCATTGAAGATGGGTCGTGGCTGGGTCTTCCAACATGACAACGACCCGAAGCACACAGCCAGGATAACCAAGGAGTGGCTCCGTAAGAAGCATATCAAGGTTCTGGAGTGGCCTAGCCAGTCTCCAGACCTCAATCCAATAGAACATCTTTGGAGGGAGCTTAAACTCTGCGTTGCTCAGCGACAGCCCCGAAACCTGACAGATCTAGAGGAGATCTGTGTGGAGGAGTGGGCCAAAATCCCTGTTGCAGTGTGTGCAAACCTGGTCAAGAACTACAGGAAACGTTTGACCTCTGTAATTGCAAACAAAGGTTTCTGTACCAAATAGTAACACTGATTTTCTCAGGTGTTCAAATACTTATGTTCAGCAGTGCAAGACAAATAAATTCTTTAAAAAAATCATACAATGTGATTTCCTGATTTTTTTTTTTAATTCTGTCTCTCAGAGTGGGAATGCACCTACAATGTGAATGTCAGACCCCTCCATGATTTCTAAGTGGGAGAACTTGCAAAATCGCAGGGTGTTCAAATACTTCTGTTCCTCACTGTATCAAGGTTACTGATGACTAGAGTTCAGGCACAACATGAGAAAAGAGTGCAGGAGTGAGCATGTGCACACAATGCAACACGTGTAACAGTGAGCAAGCACAGGCTCTCACACCAACTCTACCATGGCTGTGGCTGAGGTGAAGATCTCTGGTAACGTCACGGGGACGGCGAGGCTCTGGTCTTCAGTGGAAACTTCAAAAGCTGTCTCCAAACACTGAACAGCAACTGACACACAACACAGTTGTATTAGCAGGGAGGCAACACAAAACTAAGCAACCTGAGGCAATCAGGACAAAAGTCATCTGTGACATCGCTGATCGAACGCCAAGAAAGCTGCTGCTTCATTGTCTGTTCAGAGCAGGGACAGCACCGCCATCGGTGTGTGTGTGTGTGTGTGTGTGTGAGAGAGAGTGAGAGAGAGAGAGAGAGAGAGAGCTGGCGCCGCAGATGTCTGTCTGTCCTGAGACAAATTCTTTGTGTGCAACATACTTGGCCAATAAAAGTGATTATGATTATCAATCTAAGAACATGTAGAAAATTTTGAAAATTAGGCAAACACAGAAAACACAACCAAATACAAGTGATGGACACAGCAGGGGCACATTTTTTGTTTTTACTGTTTTTACATAAGTGATGGACACATTTTTTGTTTTTACTGTTTTTACATTTCAGTTCAGTTGTTTATTTGTACAGTGCCACTCTAACATTCACAATAAAATGTGATGTGAAACCACTTAAACATGCACCTTTTTAATCAGTAGCAGCTGAGTGGAGTGAATGAAGAGAATTCCACTACACAGCCACAAACTAACACACACTGTAGGTACATCTCAAGTCACTCATACGATCACTCCTACATCCTTGGTCCTCCGCTGACCTGGAAGTCATTCCAAGTCTCTTATACCAGACCCGAGGAGCCATGACTATTGTGGGCATTTTCTGTGAACTGACACACCCCTTTATCAGATATTAGTTGGTGATTGGATGCTTCAGATGAAGAATCTGAGGAAAAGGCATCTCAAGTCATTATTAACATGTTGTCTTGAGTCCTCTCTCCTCACGTTTCCCTGGAACTTACATGTGTGGGACTAAGACACAAAAAAGGTGTAGGTAAGGAAATGACGGTGTTTATAAGAGACTTGGGATCTACCCGCAGTGACATCAACAATTAGCAGTCCAACACAGGCTGCTGGTAGCAAGACTTGACTGAGCTAACGTCTTTGGCAAAGGCAAAAGAAGCAAAGTACCAGAACTGAATGAAATGATTCTGAACATCCATGGTGAAGCCATCCTTACGATCCAAACTACAAGGTTGCAAATTAATCCTGTAATGATTTCACAGAGTACTGCAACACTTGCACAGGTCACAGTAATGACTCTGGTTAGGAGTCTTATTAAACTAACAGTGCAACAGTTGTGGTAGTAGAGAGTGAGCTAGTGGCTGTGGGACAGTGAAGAAGTGGAGCTGATGTTTATGTGAACATAAGTCAGTGAAGGATAAACCAGGTCACTGCTGGGGCCACTGTGCTGCCACAGTACGTTTCCCCCTAGATACATTAACCTGAACTAGGTCAAAGTGTTTGTCATATGCACAGTTAGGAAACGTGTTTCCCTGTACAATGAAATTCTTACTTTGCTGTTCACATGAATGCCACAAAATACAAATGAAATATAAAGTAGATAAATAAGTAACACAAAATCTAAGGCACTTTAAGCAGCAAATGCAGCAATATAATAAAAATATATAAGA